TCCATGTTTGGGGCAATATTTAGTAACAGCTGCTTTTCAATATATCTGTGCTACTACTTTTATTACATGAACAAAACTGGTAGAGTAATAATAACCGTGCCACTAATTTGTCTTTTCAACAAATGCACTCCCCAGCGCTGCCAGCAGAGGCCGCCAGACACTTAATCGAAAGCGACAGAGAAAGCTCGCAAAATAAAACCAGCTTCAAAGTTTACGAAAGAAGAATGACCAATTAAAAATGGCTATAAATATCCAAAAAGTACTCCAAAGCCTAAGTTTTCGCAGCGAAGGGATACAGAGAGAGATGCGGATTATTTGTGTGTATGTGCTGCTGTTGCACTTTGAAGTCTTGCATCAAAAACAACCGGAGGACTTGCTTTTGGCAGGCAGAGGCAGTTTAACTTGGGAAATTGTCCACATATATAAAAAGCAAGTTTGTCAATATTTAATGTCCTAAAACCCCAGCGGACACGAGCTTTACCCAGACTGCAGTTACTGTACAGAATATATACAAGGTTTTAAACTGCATCATCTGTTCTGCAGGGCCTCCTCTTAATGCAAGCTCAAATGAGCCCTTTAACAATTCGGATTGATCAGGGAACTCTTTCAATCTTTCATGATGTGATGATTAAATGTGCACTGTGTAACTTTTCTGGTGGAGGGTCTGCCACCTGCTTGTCCCTGATGTACCACAGTATGGCATTAAACTTGTACATCTAATATTGCATTTATTCATTAAGTTACATTAAAAAATAATCAAATAAGTTGAAAAATATCAGTTCTTACTCTGAAGTTTTAGTATTGTGGCAACACTAGTGGAAATGTGACCCTGTTCAAACTCGATTTCAATACTAAGGAATAGACTCGATATTCATAACTGATTCCAATACCATACAACAAAAACTGGAGTGATAAAATTTCAGGGTGAAATAGAAATATATATTCTTTAAAACACAAACTGTTATTTTAACTATTTAAAAGTTGGGGTTTGAGTTGGGGTTATTTGCCAGAGGGGCCCAGTCAAGCAGAAGTAAACAGCAAGGCCAAAAATTCAAGTTAATGCATCTGATATAAAAATATATTCAACAGATACATATGTACTCTAGTTTATGAAACTGTTTACCTTTTTTCTGTACCATTTTTGGTTCTAAAGTTACATATGTTTTAAGCAGACCATGTATGCAACATGGAACAAAAATAATTTCCCAAATTTCAAAGACCTGCAAATCATGTAAATAAATGGATGTATTTCATCATATCTTGTGTTATTCCATCTTTAAACTGTTGATGAAGGTACATGATTTTTATATTTTTTTAAATGTATTTAAAATGATAAAAATTTACTTGGAATTACTGACATATTTTATAGAAATAGTTTCCTTTCATTTTGAAGTAATATTAAAGTATTCAGAAGAAAAAAGGTGACAAATTATATAAAATCATGCACCTTCTACTTGCTTGCACAATTTTCCCTCCGTTACCATGACCTTTCTTAATAAAAAATCTCATGAGTCAAAAAGTAAGAGGTTTTTCAACCTAATCTTGTACCATATGGTAGAAAACTATATGAAGCAAATATTCAAACCAGTTTGTTAAGGATATGTAAGTGAGAACCACTAGTTATCACTGTTTGTATTTATTGCCCAAAAAGTGCTGCATATTTCATTCCCTCCCTTACAGACATGAGTTTTAAAATTTTTTGTCAACAACTTGAAAGAATATCACAGGTTTAACTTTACCCTGTTGGAGTGTAACTCTTTCCTACATTCTGATACCTTACTTATTTCAATAGTCCCTCTAGTTTCTGAATAAGAGCTATTTGAATGTCAAAAATCTGCCCGTTTCCCTCCGTTACCACTTGACCGGACCGAGAGTTGATATGGTTGAAGTTAATTCCCTTAGTGTTATTTGGCACCTCCCTCCCATCACTTCAAACTCAGTTTGAAGTGATGGGAGGGATTATGTACAAAACCAGTTTTGTACATAATTCCATCTTAAATTAAGTAAAATAAAGTGTAAAAATACAACACCTGTGTGTCGTTTAGCTATCAGTTTACTCTCAAAACGTAAATATAACTTGATTTCGGGGTTAAACAGGAACTTTGGTCCAGTGTTACTTAATTAACATTTCCAAATTTTAAATTAAAAAAGATTGGAAAAGATTGGAACATTCCACATTTAGACAATAGAATGTGATTTTCAATATTAAATCATAGGAATTTCTTTTACATTACCATGTAATCCCTCGGTGGTCCAGGTAGGTTCCATAGTGGTCCATGGGTGTATACTAGTCTTTGTGCTCTTATACTTCCTACTGCTTCATTCAAGGTTCATTTCTGTCCTGTGAATATTACTTTTTATTACTGATGCATATCTACATGTCTAGTTGTATTACTTGTTTTGATATCGATTAGTGTCTGATTTTTGATCCTTACCATGCCATACTTTCCACAAATCTGCCATGTAATTTATAATGCACCTTTCATAGTACAGCAGCAAATATGTATTTATTCAAACATGTACTTTTACATAACACAGATTTGTTCATGCTAATTTGCCAAGGCTGCCTCTTCACAATTTCCATATGTCAAAAATAACCTTCTGTAGTAGTTCCCCCAAAGTCCTCTATTGGACATATTGATTTGAATATTGCATCAGCAGTGCAACAGTGAGGATGTAAACTGTGCAGATAGAAAATGCATGACAAAGCACAAACCCTGACCTTGGCTCGGAGTTGTTGGTTTGTAAAGGCGCCTGCAGAATGTGCCTATGGAGGATCCAAGGGGGCAGAGGGAGGCACAGGTGTCCAAATATTTGTCTGTTCAAACGTCTTCCATTTTCCCCAGGAGCAGTGCACTGTGCAAGCACAAGGAGTCTGTAGCTACAACTTTAGTCTGAGCCCATTCACAGAGAACTGCTGCTGACAGTACAACCACTAATTAGACCAGGCCCTTAAGTTTGCCTGGAGAACATGAACAGAAATGAAATCTAACCAGATTTCTTGGTATTCTGCTGCTTCTAATCAATGAGCTGCAGAAATGGATACAAAAAAATGAGTTAATCCTGTATAAGGATTAGTGTCACAAAACAAAAAAATCTTACTTCATTTTGAGGCTGAGGAAAAGGCCCAGTACATTATACAGATTTTAAATTATAATGATGATTAAGACCCTTGTTTTTAGACAATAGAATCTAATTTTAAAAAAAAGCTTGTGGTTATGTGGTCTGATCTATTTTCAGGACTTCCTTTTAGGGCTGCACAATATTGGAAAATTTAGCAATATGACTAGACCATAATCCCTTGCTCCTTTCAGCCCAGCCAATGGGTTTAATGCCTTTTTGTGGCCTTATGGTGCCATAATAATCCAAATGAACACCTAAACTGACATAAGACATATTTACACGATGCATCACATATTTGCTATTGTCTCAGCTTACATTTATTCCTACATAATAATAAATTGACAAATCAGTTGTTTCTCCTGACAGTCAGACTGCTCCATTTACAATTCTAAACCCATTTCTCTATACTTAATATGTCTTATCTTGTCCCATCTAGAGTTAGTCAGGCTGGCGCCACCTAATGCCTCCTCTCAATTTCATTTCTCTCCAGCGACTAGGTCAGGAATCGGAATACACTAGACGGTTCGCAAAAGTGTGAGTTCGGGCACCAGCCAATCAGCGAAGAGCCATATATTCTGTGCGATTCCCTGAGATCAAGGATTTAAAGTTGGAACAAAGAGAATGTTTGGTGAATTTTATCAAGGGGAAAAACGTTATTGTCCTTCTTCCTACGGGATTTGGGAAAAGCTTAATATACCAGTTAGCCCCATTAGCGGCGCATTACATACATCATGACCAAATAGGAGCGATTGGTTAAATGATAAAAAGTACCTGTCTACTGTCAAGCGAACGAATTCTAACACTGCGAGGTGAGACCGTTTCTATGAAGTAAAACCGGCTGATGAATCAGGCTAGTTTACAGTATGTCCCTGCAGGTATACAAGCTGTGTTTTGTCCTTTTGTTTTACTTGGTTTAATGCAGGGGTCTCCAACCTTTTTCCAACGGTGAACTACCTTTACAAAGCAAAATTCAGAGAGAGCTACAAATTTTTGTGTCCCAAGAAATTTTGAGCCATGATTTTGAGCCTTAGATGACGTAAAGTTGCCTATAAAAAAAACCAAAAGAAAAACCAAACCATTATCTATTAATTAATGCACAAAATTTGACTCAAAATAATAGATTGGACAATGGTAATTAATACAGTTTTACTTATTCAGAACAATACGTATAATTCAGAAATCCTTTGGCGAGCTACTTTAAAGGGGGCAGAGAGCCACTGGTAGGTCCCGAGCTACAGGTTGGTTTCATGGTGCAGTATGTGTGATATTCAGACCCTCTCACTGCTGCTGTATTATTCACTCTTCACTTCACTTCTGTCAGCAAAGCAAAGCGCTCCAAAGGGACTTTCAACTTTTATTCCACTTTTTCTCCACGCTGGAAGAAAGGGAAGGATCTCACTGGTGTTTGGTCATGGTGTCAGTAATCAGCTGTGTGCTATTCTGACTTCTGACTCTGCTATAATGAACTGAACTGAATGTTAAAGGTGCATTTTGTAACTTTTCTGGTGGAGGGTCCGTCAAACGCTTTTCTCCGTGGAGATGTTATTGCTTTGTCTGGAATGTTTCACAGTATGGCAGTAAACCTTTCTATCTTCATGGAGACCAAACCAGACCAAATTACAGGTCAGATCTGTGGAGAAACAATCCCCCTCATAGTCAGAATGCGTGTTTATCTAGGTATTTTTGAGCTATATAACCGCCTGCAATTGAATAAATGTAAGGTAGAGCTGTTTAATGTCATACTGCGGAACATTACAGGCACAGCAATGACATATCCATAGAAACAAGCAGGTGAAGGACCCCCAACCAGTAATAATGTATAACCCTTGACTAACAGCTGTGGTTGGGAGACTGACTTCTCTTGTTTCTCTTTGCAGTACTTTGTCCTGCTGCTGTGTATCTTCCTGCTGGAGGTTCTGGCTGGAGTCCTGGCTTACATCTACTACCAACAGGCAAGTCGCTCACATCATGGATCCCTCTGCTTATTGGATCACATTCTGAATATCTGCTTTAAGCCAGGTGTACATTCCATTCATACGTTTGCCGGTTTTAACTCAACTCGAGAGATGCGGACACATAGAAAACAACATAAATCATTTTTTCATGTCATGTGAAATGTGTTTAGCCCCAATACAGATATATTGTTAAAACAGCTGTTAGGATCAAAATTAGATTACTGTGTGCTGTATGTATCAAATTATAACATATTTTTATTGTTCGCAAATCACGAATCAGGGTTTGTGTGCCGTTAGCATGCTAGTTGTTAGTTTCTCTGTGAGAGCAAAACTCAGCTCGGGCTGCTGAGAGTTGTGAAAAGCACTTAAAATTCATCAGTGATTACTTTGGATGATTAGTAAGTAGGGAATAAATTTGAACCACTGTAAACATTTAAAATGAACTGGTTCTGTTTCAAGTACCATAGTTTTTGGACTATAAGGCGCACTTAAAATTCTTTAATTTCCTCAAAAATCAGCAGTGCGTCTTATAATCCAGTGCACCTTATGTATTAATTCTGGTTGTGCTTATTGATCTTGAACCGATTTTATGTGGTACAAGGTGCTCAAAAATCTGTCAAAATGTTTTAGTACGACTTTGGTAAACAATGAAGCTGCACCGCTTGGTGGATTGTCAGAACATTACGGCTACTGTAGTCAGGAGTAAGTGAGTTGTGTCTTTTAGTCCGACAGAAGCTGACCACATCAGAGCACAAGGAGCGAGCTGTTTTTTCAGTGCATATAGTTTATGCAAATGAGTCATGTGGTTTTATGTTTTGTTTCTGTAAAACGTAAACAAATGTGGCAAAGCTGCATTAAATACATTATTACTAATTATAGATTTGAGTCGTCCTTGTAGGAAATAAAAAAAACTAACTTAAATGATCCACCCACATTCATATTTATAATCCACATTCACCAAGACAGGGAGGCAACGCCGGATGAGTTACGCCACAGTCTGCCAATGGATCATGGACGCCTGGACTAAGGATCATTCTCAAGTGTCGTCTGTTTGGCTACGTTCAGACTGCAGGGCTTAATGCTCAATTCTGATTTTTTTGTGAAATCCGATGTTTTTGTGAGGTCGTTCACATTTCCAATTAAATGCGACTTGTCTGTGACTCCAGTGTGAACGGTAAACGGCCCGAAAGTGTCCCGCATGCGTACTGGAGGACACGATGACGTCAACCCCATGCGTCAACCGCAGCGAGCGTGCTCTGTGTTTACAGAAGTTGTCCAAACATGGACGCGAGCCTTGAGCACCTGGCGATTTTACAGTTCCGGTTTCCACCTGCTTCAGCGCAGAATAGTGACATTTGTCGCTTGTTGATGACGTGTGGGTCAGATGGATGCGCTTTGGCTGTTCAGACTGAAGTCGCATGTGAAAAGATCGGGTATGTATCGGTTTCAGGAGCACATATCCAAGTGGCCTGGGTCGCATTTGAAACTAGAAAAGCACTCAGAGAGCGCAGACCTCTGCCAAGGACTACCCCCATTTTTTATATAAATTGCGATAAAATCAGTCTTCTGGATCAGATCCGGATCAGCCTTTGGAATATGAAGGAGGATCCCATTGTCCATCCCTGAGTCAAATTTCATGGGGTTTGGTCAATATTGGCCCCATTTACCACAATGTTAACTAAAATTTCAAAGTGATCCAGAATCCAGGATTTCTTCCGGATCACCCCCAAAATGAAATCAGTTCTTTCTTTTCACATTTCCAACAAATCCTGAAAATTTCATCAAAATCGGTCCATAACTTTTTGAGTTATGTTGCTAACAGACAGACAAACAAACAAACAGACAAACGCCGGCAAAAACATAACCTCCTTGGCGGAGGTAAAAATCGGATCTGTGCCGTTCAGACTGTCATTAAAAGATCAGATACAGGTCACATAGAAGCCAAAAAATCAGATTTGAGTCACTTCAGGCTGCACTCTGAACGCAGCCTTTGTTTCACTTAATGTGCCTTATAATCCGAAAAATAATGTATTTAAGATGGTAAAAATCAGGTACAGCACGGGTAACAGTATTTTTGGAATCTTGGTTATTTTTTTGTGATATTCTTTCTCAAGACTATTTTTACCTACTTATTACAAACCTCAAATGCACTGTATAAATTATTGTTTGACTTCTCTCAACCACTGCATAAGAAACATAAGAAAAATCAGGGGCAAGACCAACTGAGAAACCCTGACACTGAGGATATGAGAATTCCTCTTCCTACAGACATGTGTATCACTGTCTACAGATGTACAGAAGGCAGCTCTTCAAACCAGAGGCACATGAGTATCTAGTGCAATATTCATACTGCGGCACCGTGCCTTTTGTCATGTTGTGATGAGTTCTGTAGGCACCACACAACCTATAGAGTCTGATTTATATAGTGCACTGAACTATAGTGTAACGCATTCACCTGGCCTCCTGTTGCCAAAGCACTATACAGTACACATGACTGCTATCAGAGCTATCAGAGCCATGAAGTATCACAGTAATACTTGGACAATAGTGTGTCAATCCAACAGAATCTTTTTAATCTTTGATACCTCCTCAAAAATGCATAATGCTCTGTTCCACCTTGTGATGTCATGATGTGATAGTTTTCAAGTTAACAGCTCCTTTTACCTTTAGTTTTATAGAGACTGGTAATTTCAGAGCTGAAATGATCTAAATGGATTTTTAAAACAAAATACAGCACTTACTTCAGACATGTCAAACTCAGGCCCGAGGGCCAAATTTGGCTCACAATATAATTATATTTGGCTCACAAGATCATATCAAATATGTATTAGAGCTGTCCGCTGGCTACAGATAGACTATAGAGACATTATTTATTTAAAATATTGTTATTTTATATTTTGCTTGTTCTGGATTCAATGTTTCAGCAAAACTATTATTGAACATTTATTTTAATAAAACATTACATTTCTCAAAAAAAGAGAAAACATGCAGATGTTGTTGAAATTTTTTATTAAATATTTAGTTTGGCCCATGACTTAGTCAGTTTTTAATTTTGGCCTTTTGTGAATTTGAGTTAGACACCCCTGACTTACTGAATTAATTCATGACATCACAAGGTGGAACTAAGTGTTTTGTGTTTGAGTGAACAATTCAAAAACGGCTCCAGGTATGTTTTTGATGTGGAAACAACATTAAAACAGAGATCAGAAAATATCATAATATGGGCCCTTTAATTATCGGACAAATGTGAATTTACTGTGAATTACCCACAAAAGTGTGAAATATGTGATACCCTTTTTTGGAAGTTTAGAATAATATTACAGTTAAATAGCACCCACAACAAAGCACCATGGTGCTAATCAACATGCTATTTATGTTTTTATTCACCACTATAACTACTCTTACCAGCAGAGGGCACCAAATACCTATTTCAAAAGCAAAAGTATCTTAACGTATAAAAGAAATTGAAGGAAGCATCTCTCCTGATAATAAGAAAGTACAAAGCTAGCTTGCTGAATGTCCCTCCCCGCTCTTTTACCTTTTTGCCACTTCACTCTGGTCTAATTAAAGCGCAAGGACCAGAAACAAATAAAGATGGATGATGGATCAGGGTCAGCAGTTCAGAGAATCAAAATTAACAACTGTTCATAAAGGGCAAATGTTAACCACTCTGCCAACGGTAGCTTTTTAACAGAAGCTACACAAAGTATATGTCTGATGGAAGCCAAAAAGATCTCCTGGATACAATTACATGAACATTTATAATATTGTGAGAAAACCCTTACTTTATCTGTTTTTTCATCACTACTTGCTTCCCTGGGAATTCACTTGTTGGGAGGTCGTATAAATCAGTCCTAAAGCAGCTGGGATGACTTGGCATTGTTTTCAGTGTCCTCTTTTTGACCATTTCTTGTTTAGGACTACAATGGAAGTGATGTAGTCCACTTTTAGACCTGGTTTAGTCCTAGATTAGTCCTGGAACAGTCCTGTTATACACTTGATTTAGATCTGGTGCTACTCGGAAAGCCTAATCTGTTCTTTGGTGCTACTTGGTGTGAAAAGTTTGAAAGCCACTGCTTTACAAATGACATTTGCAGTGGATATTCTGTGTACTTTGAGAGTGGGACCTGATTGTTTTGTAAACAGAAGATTGTGGTGATGTGGGTCTGCTGTAAACTGGTGTAAATGTACATAGCAAGAATAGTCTATAAATAATGTGGACCTGTTAAATGAGTGGCAGGCTGTGCCCTCATGTGTCAGAACGTGCTATTTTACCTCACTCCTTGATTTATGTTGATACATTCGCTGATGCTGCCCAATGCCAACTGGCACAGGCTGGTATCACATTGGCACAGAGTGCCAGGACTTTCTGCTCAAGGTGTTATATGGACCCATTTTGTTATTTCTGGAAAAGACTTGTCACCAATGACTCCCAGGTGTAGTTTTTGCTATTTTTCAGGGTTTTTATACTTAGAAGGTCATTTTATTATTTTCATGTATTTTTGTCAGACGGGATTAGAAATTGGTTGTGTTTGCTCTTTACACCTTCACCCACTTCTCTAAACACCAGAGGTAGCTCTTCCTTTCATTTAGATACTAAGATCTCACACATCTGGAATCTGTATTTTTATATACTTTTTACCTAAGAATTTTTTTTTTTAAACCTTTCAATTGCATGTGATGTTTTTGCACTTGTGTTTAACAGACCCATCCAGAGGGGCATGTTTAGAATTGTGGCACTTGAAACCCAGTACTGTGTGAACATTCTATCCTATTCATTTTAATAGAACAGTAAATCAAAACATTTAGACGTTTGCAGGCAGCACAGCCGTGTGTTTGTTACATTTGGCAATAACAATAAGTAATAACTCCCAGTGTATAACTTGTAGAAATGAGGTTCAGTTATTCAGAGAATAATAATTTGTACCATCATAACCATAGTTTGAAAAAAATATATGAGAAAAGCTGCATATTCTTGTCAGCAGAAAAGTGAAAATGGAGAGATAAATAGTTGTCTCCCTCCATCTGTGTGGAGGACATCTTCACATGGTGAGTGTAAAGCTCCAGCATGTGTCAGTAGCTAATGTGATGCATGGCCACATCTGCTGTTGATTGCAGACCAAAGCTCCATCCCTCTTTTCCAAGGGCCCACTATAATACAAATTACACCTCCATTATTTTTTCATCTGGTTACATAAGGCTCCCTCTCTCCTTCACCTGCTGCACCGCTCTGTTTGTGCGCTGTCAACAGGTCCTTTCACACTCCTCTCCTCCTCTTCTTTTTTTCCTCTTATTTTGTCTTACTCTTTTCCTCTTCCTCCTGTTTTACTTCTCCTCTATCTCTTTCATTCTCATTTTTTTTCTCTCTCATTGTCTCATTCTTTTTCTGTCACTCTTTTTCCATTTCCCTCATTTTATCTTTCTCATATTCTCTTTGTCACTCCCGCTTTCTCTTCCTCCTTCCCTCTCTCATCCTCGTGCTCATATTCTTTCTTTCATTCACTCTCTTTCTCATTCATTCTCTCTCTTCCTCTTGTCTATCTCACGCACTCCTTCTCTCCCTCCCTCCATCCTCCTCCTGTCCTCAGCCCCTGCTCTTTCTAATCATGCCATCCCCTGATATCTCCTTCACGCTTTGATTTGCCGCCGCGCGCTCCCAGCTGGCCCGTTGCCATGGAAACTGAGCCCCAGGACCGGCTCCTCCAGCGCGCTGTCTGCCGCTGCTCCGGGAATAGGCACGGCCCTGCACCCGGCTCTGGCTCTGGGGCTGGTGCTGCACACGGGGAAAAACACGGCAACTCTCCATTCGGAATATTCAGGCATTCACCATCACTTTTAGGCACCGCGGTTTGGAGAGTTCAAGTTTCATAGGTAGAATGTACAGGGTTGTTCCGATACCATTTTTTTGTGGGATCCGATCTGATAACGATACTTGGCCGTGGTGTACTCACCGATACTGATACCAGTCCGATACCATAAGGTGAATAAGTGCTCTCAGGATTAGGGGTGTGCAAAAATATTGAAATATCAATATACTGCATCATTTAATGTGATGATATAGTATCGATATCGTGAACTGAATTGATATATCTCCAAGAGTGTTTTTTTGGTTTATTTAGTCACAGTGTTACAGTTTTGTTGCTTGTTCAGAGGATGGAAACTTGTTTATCCATCACATTTGACATTTTCACTGCACAGCAAAAACAGGAGAGTTAAAATTTCATGGTAAAATATTTCAGAGTTTAACACAAAAAGTGTTATTTTAACTATTTGAAAGTTAAATGGGGGGTCGAGTTGGGGTTATTTGCCAGGGTTGAGATGATTGGAGTTAATTCAGTTTCCCCTAGTGTTAATTTAACTTCTCTTCATGTTAATTTGGTACCTCACACCCACCACTTCAAACTCCCACGAGAGTAGACCAGTTTGAACTAGTTTTGTACAGAATTTCATCTTAAATTAACAAAAATAAAGTGTAAAAATAAAATACCTCTGTGTGTTGTTTAGTTAAATCAGGATAACCCTACAAAGTGTTATCTGTTTACTCTCAAAACGTTAATATAACTCTTGATTTCCAGGCTCAACAGGAACTTTGGTCCAGTGTTTCTTAATTAACATTTCCAAAAATTATGAATTAACTTAATAACAGACTGGACTCATATAAACCCTGAGAAAATGTTCAAATTGATTCTGTGAGAGCTAATTTTAACACTCTACTTTTTATTGTGTGTTTTGAGGATTAAAATGTTTGTGTTTCATATGAAGTGGTTTAAAAAAGACTTGATACAGCAGCCTATGATGTCAATACTGTATCATTACATTAAACAATACGATATATAAATGTTTCAATATTTTTGCACACACCTAGTGTAGATAAAAACAGCAGTGAGGCCTGTAAAAAAAAAAAAAAAAAAAAAAAAAAAAGCTCATCCTCAGAACACATGGCTGATTCTGCAGAGTAATTAAACAAAGTCTGAGTTAGGCTGTTGTTGTTGTTGTTGCTGCTGTTGTTAGGCGGCACTCTCCTACTTATTTTACCAAGTTTACCGAGCGACCACAAACAGGTAACACAAATGTCTTTTCTTTCATTATGAGCGTGTTTAAGTGCCTGCAGAACCTCCACAGTCTGTGTTTAAACAGCAGCTGCTCGCATCTACTGGTCCTCATTCAAGAAAATACACAGTAGTATTGGATTGGTGATTTGGTCTGAGTACTCGCTGTATTGGAACAACTCTAAAAATGTGTGTGAATAGGGATTTATTTTATAAAATCAGGTGAGCAGGAACCGACATTTCATTTTGAAAGGCAAGTTATAATAATAGACATAGTAATAATAATAGAACAGAGAACAACAGGCTGAACAGGCGTTAATATGTTAACATAATATATTAAAAATGATTCAGATAGTGATAGCATAAACAACAGAACATAAGTTTACCAAAGTCTCAATCTCACTTCACATCACTAAATCCATTGAATGGTAAATGGTCACATTTTTCTATAGCGCTTTTCCACCTTCAAGGCACTCAATGTGCTTTACAGCAAGGAACCACTCACCCATTCACACACACATTCACACACAGTGTACGCAGACACTGTGGGCAAGGTGAGCTAAGTGTCTTGCCCAAGGACACAATGACAGCATTCATCTGTGGGAGCTGGAATCAAACCAGCCAATCTGTGGGTCAGTGGATCTGACCGCTCAACCTGTCGAGAGCTGGATTCGAACCACCAACCTTCAGATCAGTGGGCGTTAGAATTCTTCCTCCTCGGTGTCACTTCTGAGCATCTCCACGCAACTTCAGTTGTCACTGCTTTGTCATCCAGTGACTTCCAGAAAAGTTGCCAGTCCCTCACAAGTTTCTCGCTCACTCCAAACTTTCTTTCTGCTGCTCGATTACTGTTTTCTGCTGCATATTTCACTATTTGCAGCAGGACAGCGGCTTTTTCTGCAGGAGACATGCACAGAAAACTGATACACAAACCTAGGGCGCTCTCTCGCAGCTGTGAGTGTGAAAATGTTTATATATAAGTCACACCGGAGTATAAGTTGCAGGAAACACCCAAACCATGAAAAAAAATTAAATTTATAGTCCAAAATGTACAGTACACAGATATAAGCCCACATGGGAATATATGTATACTATGATTCAAAATTGAAAATCACATTTTGTTGTTTATATAGTTTGTCTGAAGAGTGTTTATCATCATCGTGGCAATGGAATCTGTTCTATTCCTAATCTATTCCTTAGTATCAAAATCGTAACACGTGACCTCACTGTGTTCCCAGGTACGAGGTAAATACATTCCAATCAAATATAACTTTTAGCGATAACAGTTTTAATGCTAATTTATTCTTGAGTACAAAAACATTGAACCTGGTGGCCATGTTGTTTATGGTGTTTTGATTCTTAAGACGGTTATCCAATCAGGATGAGCCTCACACGAGTCTCTCATTTAAGTTGCCAGTTCCAGTACTGTAATCCTTTTTTTTTTTTTTTAACACAAAATGCCTCTGTCTGATTGAATCATCACTACTTACACCCCAGCACCTGCAGCCAGTCCTATGAGCTCAGGCTACACGCTGTTCCTTTTAAAGACGACATATGCTCATACATTTATACATGATCACTACTTGTGTTGTTTGTGCTGGTATGATGCGGCGTTTGACAAGGTGACTTGTTTGTGTGTTTTAGCTGAACGAGGAGCTGAAGCAGAGCCTGAGGGACACCATGATCCAGAAGTACGAGAGGACCAACCAGGAACACATCACCAGAGCCGTGGACAAGCTGCAGCAGGAGGTGAGACACAGGGATACCTCAGATCCAACACAAGGACACACAGCTACACGTTGAATTATTATTTTTAAAGGAGACACAGATTAAATCAGGTTTTAAAGAGATTCAGGCAGGTTTGAGTAATTATTCTACGTTGAGGTTAAGTTGAGGCAGCGAGACACTTTATGACATTTACGGTGACATATCATAAAGGTTCTATTGATTCCTAGTTATTTTAGATTAATATTGCAATGTGTCGATGTGTGCAATGTCCAAAATATTAAATAACAATCCACAAGTGTCTTCAACTATAACTATGCAGTATCATTGACTGGCATGTGATTAGGAGTGTGCAAAAATATTGAAATATCGATATATCATATTGTTTCATTTGATGATACAGTTTCGATATTGTTGGCTGCCGTATCGATATATTGCCAAGAGTATTTTAAGTGATATTTTCCTAAATAATTTTGTGTAAGAGCTACATTTGCGTTGACGTTTTCACTGTTTTGATGAGTAAAATGGGTGTTTTTTTAGGGGTGTAACAACACGATATCGTCACGGTATGAACCTCACAGTACAATACTTATTGTGATATTTATTTATTTATTTGAGACAGGGAAAGCTTACGATATGATGGGGAGGCTTACGTTTAGTGATGTAACAATATCCAAATCTCTCGGTACGATATTTTCACGATATACATCTCATGGTACGATATTTATTGCGATATTTTGTGGAGGCTAACAAAACTATTAATCTGACACTTTTTCCTCTTAAAATCCCTTGACAAGACTTAATCCAAAGAGCTAAGACTTAAACGCGCTTAGAAGTGTTATTTCTTCATGTAGTCTGTACTGAAATGGAGCAAAGGATCATGGTCTATGTAGTTTCCTCTGTCTTTTTTGAGCTATTGCTGCACCATAACTCTTCATTTAAGCAGAGACTTGTAATTCGATATGTTGTGATGGTCCACGATATTATTGTGAGCACTTGGACGATGCGAAATCACGATATTTCTGTTGTTGTTACATCCCTAGTGTTTTTCGTAATACCTTTGTGCAGACTTAGTTGACTTCGTAGACTTACTAGACTTTTAGTATCACAGTCATGATTTAGCCTTTGTTTTTGATTTGAAATTGATCGTATTGAATCAAAAGTGCACTAAATCAAAAAACTTATCGTATCGAGGTATGTATTGTATAACTTCAATGATACCCAGCCTTACATGTGATCCAGTTAGCTGTGCATGTGTGAATCAGAACAGTGCTTAGTATTACACAGATTGGTTGGCCGATGTTTTGACTTTTTAGCGATCTGCTATTGGCCTTAAATCTCCAGCACAGGCCTATTTTGTTTTGGTCGATTTGCCGTCTAAAAATACGCACAAAGCTTTATTTTGACCCTTTTAATGTGGAGAAAACTGCATAAAACATGACTACAGCATTCTTAAAGGTTTGTTGTTAAAAAAAAGGGCTGTGGGTGAGTTTGTAGTAAATTTTATTATATAATTTGGCCACAAAATATTGGCAGAGTTTATTGACCATGTTGCTCTGGATACTAAACAGTCGGTATCGGCATTGGCCATGAAAAGAAAACATATTGGTCAATCTCTACTCTTTATTGGTGTGTACCTGTCCCCAAGCCCCGTCCCCAAGCCCCGTCCCTGTCACGTGCCTCACATGTGTCAGTGCTGCTGCTGGGAGCTCTTATCCCGTCAGATTAGGAACTTTAGTGATGGGCCCCAGCAGAATGGACCCAATCCCACTCCTTTTCACTCGGCTAAGTATGATGGACTGGTGCGCTCCTGCTGCTGCACCCGCCGCTGCACTCGTCACCCGTGGATCCTTATTAAGAAGTGGATAAGACACTCCCCCTCTGTCCCGATGGGAGCTCGATTAGTGGCCGCTCCGTGGGTACTACAGCTCCAGCCCAGAACAAATTGTCCCGTAGAGCGCAATATACTTCTGTGAAATCAAACTGCCTGTGTTTGGCTGACAGGACATCCACAGCTTTCACAAAGGTTGGATTTTGGAGGGAGTTGGGGTGGGGTTTGGGGGTATAACGAACAGTGTGATTGGTCTGACAGGTTTATACACTGTAGCCAGGGCTGTGTCGGAAGGTTCACACTGTTCCCTTAGGGCACTATTTAGGGGTTGTGCCATTTTTAGGGGTGTCCGAATGACCAGTTGGTGAAAAAGTAGTGCACTCATTTGCACTCAAATTTCCCATAATGCACCTTGAAAAGTAATGGAATCAGTGGTCACTAGCGCGGTCAGTATAGACCACAATGCATTGTGAGAGTCGAGAAAACGACTGCGTAGAGCGACAAGTGTTTAACTTCACACAACCAGACTGAATGAAAGCAGATAAAAGCTCTGGTTTATGGCTCTGTTGATCCTGATTCTGAATAAAACACTAAATAATTCTAAATAAACCGTTCTGGTGTTAGTGGTGTTTACCTTAGCTCCAGCTGTTAACAGACTGACGATTTTCACATTTCAGACAAAAAGCAAATAATAATCCAGTCTGTTTACGTGAAATCCAGCTTGACAAAAACTTGTATGATTATTATTAGTCCACAAATACTTGTGTGTCAGTCTGATCTGATCATGATTTATGACAGAAATCAAGTTTTATCAGAGCTTAGCGGACTTTACCCAGACGCCAGAGTCACATGACCTGAATGTAGTGATCTGCGTGTCTGAATCTCTGTGAATGAGTGCATTATATAGTGCGCTTAAGCAGTGTTTCCCAAACATTTTTCTGGGGATCCTTATTTTAAAAGTCACAAACATTCGCGACCCATGTCAATAGACATTATTTGTAAATCACAAAATGTTGTGATTTGTTTTCATTTTTGTGAGCACAGAAAATCCTGATTCACACATGTATGTAGTAATGGAAGAAATAAGCAGAGGAATACTGGCCCTACTGAGGACAGGATATTCTGACCAAATGCTGATCCAGAATGACAAAAAGGTCACAGATCCTTGTATACAACTGTATTACAGACCTACATGCAGATCGTGACAAGATGACCCAAAAAAAATCTCTTGTGACCCACCTGAGAATCGCAACACAGTCTTTGGGAAATAATGCCCTAAAGAGTGTGGTCCTATGTAGTGAACGAGGGGTTAGGGATTAGGGTGGACCTTCAGATATTTGTAGTTAGAAACACCTGGCTGTAATCTGGGTAGTCATACGTAATGTCAACAACTACTGGAAATCGTAGTGGCCAGTGAAGGCAGCACACACTTGGCTTTAGGCGCTTTTGCCCAGAAAGCTGCAAATGGACCTAGTTTACACAGAATTTGCCAATAAATGATTATAAACAGTAGATGATGGTAATGCCATCTACACAGTTGAGTAGGGGAAAAAAGAGCCCACACTAGCTCCATTTTAACAGCACGCTCTGAACTGTTGTCATACGGTGGGAGTTGCCGGTTTGTATTGAGGAAAAAACGTAACGTAATTTCACGCCAATGAGCACAGGTTATTGAAAACAGTACAACACCATCTTCGGTTCATCATCCAGATCTTCTCAGACTTCCATGCCGCTACTGCACCCTAAACCCAAGTTTCTTTCAGTTTCAGTTTAGCCAGAACATTCCGTGCCGTACATTCAGCAATTGTGATGTAGCATGTTTGAAATGTAAATGTTTGTGTCCAGTTCAAGTGCTGCGGGAGCAACAGTTCTGCGGACTGGGCGGCCAGCGAGTGGATCCGCTCCCAGGCCGGGAAGGGCAGACTGGTGCCGGACAGCTGCTGTAAGACCCCCAGCCCCATGTGCGGAGAGAGAGACCATCCCTCCAACATCTACAAGGTGGAGGTGAGACCAGCCTGCGCCGCTCCTCACACTGTGTCATGGATTTGCTGTTGTAAATGAAGTTACTGGTGCATCAACACTGAAAACAACTGAAATGAAAAGTAGTAAACATCCCTTGCATTTAAACTGGTAAATTACCCCCATAAAAGTCCCTGTTGTATAGTAGAGACAGTGCTCTGCAGATGGTATTCTATTGCCTAAATAAATGCAGCCTTTGCATTTTTCTAATTGCCAGCGTCAGATTGTGCTGGTGCTTGGACAGTGTAACACTTAATCAGGTAATGGGTTCAAATGTTTGAGAGTATCTGCACTGCACTAGAATAAGAAGCTGCACAGCCAACAGTCAAATTGTCCTTGTGCCAGAGACAGACCATTATTAATATGACACACTGCACAGTCATGATAAGAATATATAAGAACAAGAACAATACTATAGAAAGCTTCTGAAGAATACTTTTACAAAAATGCTATTATTGTGTTGCTTTTTTGAGGAAAGAAACTTGTTTATGCAGTACATTTGACATATTCACTGGTTTGATGATGAAAATGACTATTGTATATTATGGGCAGGTAGTTGTTTAAGAAAAAAATACTCTTGTAAAATGTATTCAGTTCTTAAAATTAGTGATACATCGCAGAATAGCATGTGCAGTATATTGATTATCACGTATATTGCCATGCATGGTATATTGTTGCAAATCATGAGGTGACCATGTGATTCTCAGCCCTAACTATAACAGTATCTTTCTTTTCTGAGCAGATTCTAACAAAATGTGTGTGAAACAATCCTTTTCTCACACATTAATAGAAAAGTTGAAACTTGAATCAATTAAAATTGAATGAGCAAGACTGCCTTACCTTAGAAAGGATCAATGCTCCACTGCTCTGCACACAGCACTAATATAATTCTGTCTTATACTGATTTAAAAAGCATACAGTGGAAAAAAAAATGTAGATCACGGTAAACTGTGCCCTTTACACTCTCTGAATGTATGTGTGCATATTGTTTCCGTTCAGGGCGGCTGCATCACCAAACTGGAGACGTTTATCCTGGAGCATCTCAAGATCATTGGAGCGGTGGGCATTGGCATAGCATGTGTACAGGTGAGTACACAACTCCAATTCAACAGACACTTTTAAAACACACACTGAGAAAGAAAGATTTGGACACACCTTCTCATCTCATTTACCATTTTCAACATTCTAGATACAGACTGAAGTCATCAAATATATTCAACTGTCTGGAATAAACCTGTATGGAATTATGTAATACCATATTTTACGGGCTATTAGGCGCTCTGGATTATAAGACGCACTGTCATTAAATGGTCTATTTTCGAACTTTTTTCACAAATAAACCGCACCGGACTTTAAAGGAAACACAACAGTTGGATGGGTGAGTGGTTTTGTTTGTTTGTGGCGTTCACGGTGACTCTGGGCTTTGTTCAGTTGTGGCGTGTAGGGAGGGTGCTGTCTGGGACCAACGGATTGTCGGCGTGTTCGCAGTGACTCAGTTGTTCAGTTGTGTTTAGAAGTGGCACATTGCACTCGCTTTTTCGGTTTGTTCGTCCGTTCCGTTTCTCGTCGGCGTGGAGTCATGAGTGTGTCTGCAGGTGTTTTTGGCTGTGTGGTCGCTGTCTGCTCCGTGTGTGTTTGCGTGCGCTGTGGTGGTGCGGCTTTGTAGTTTTCTGAAGTCGTGCTGGGACACCCGAGTGCATTTGTGTATAGGGCGCTCTGGGTTGAGGGGCGCGGTCGTTTTTTGATGGGGTTGGAGGCTTAAGAGCGCGTCTAATAGCCTGGAAAATACGGTATTCAAAAAAGTGAATATGTAAATAAATTTTTTATTTCATATTTACATTCCTCAAAATCGCCACCCTTTGCTTTGTCGACAGCGCTGCAAACTCTTGACATTTACTCAGAGAGCTTCAGGATAGAGGTCTGCGTGGGACAGAATTTTCAGTACCGCTCCCGCTCGCACCCGCACTGTGCAGTCTCGCGCCCACAAAGAATTATAATTTTCATTCCCACTCCTGTCCTCATCTGCGATATTTTGTCCCGCTCCCGCTCGCAAATCCCGCAAGATGGGGACATTCGCTTTCTTAAGCTCTATCAAACATGGAGAAGTGGAAAGGAACTGTCTAAAATCTGCATGAGATTAGACCACATCTGCAAGTATAGGCTGCTTAAAATGTTCTTATTAATGGCAAATAAAATATCCAGCACAAATGATGTATGATAGGTTTAAATGAATCATTTGTATATTTCACTATAATATTTACAATACAATATTTAGTTTGCAGGATTGCAGTTTATCATCCCACCCGCCCGCTCTTGCATTGTGCAGTCTCACTCCTGCCCGTGCCCACAATCAGCTTTCAAAATGTGTCCCTCCCTGCACTATTTTGTTTTGGGTGCAGGGTTATACTTCATGATAAAGTCTCCTGAAATGGTTTAATTAGTGTCAGGATTGTACAAAGCCATCGCCAAAGAAAAGTGTGTTTTTTTTTTTGAAGAATGCCTACTCATAGTTGTAATGCCATCAGTGAGCATTGAGGATGTAAATGGACATGAAAATACAGTAAAAGCATTATGCACCGTATTTTCCGGGTTATTAGATGCACTCTTAAGCCTCCAACCCCATCAAAAAACGACCGCGCGCCCCACAATTCAGAGCACCTTGTACACGAATCCACTCAGGTGTCCCAGCACGACTTCAGTAAACTACAAAGCCACACCACCTGCAGCGCACGCAAACTCACACGGAGCAGACAGCGACCGCACAGCGAAAAACACCCACAGACACACTCATCACTCCACGCTGACGAGGAACGGGCAGAAAAAGCGAGTACAATGTGCCACTTCTAGCCACAACTGAACAACTGAGTCACTGCAAACACGCCGACAATCCGTTGGTCCCAGACAGCACCCTCCCTACACGCCACAACTGAACAAAGCCCAGAGTCACCGTGAACGCCACAAACAAACAAAACCACTGACCCATCCAACTGTTGTGTTTCATTTAAAGTCCAGTGCGGTTTATTTGTGAAAAAATATCGAAAATAGACCATTTAATGACAGTGCGCCTTATAATCCAGAGCGCCTAATAGCCCGTAAAATATGGTACATGTAAAAGTGTGTCCAAACTCGTGTCTAAACTCATGTTCGTCCCTTGTAGGTGATCGGGATGGTGTTCACGTGCTGCCTGTACAAGAGCCTGAAGGTGGAGCCGTATTAGTAGAGCAGCCCCGTGTCTGCTCCAGCCTTTGGTTTTAGTGTGAGCAGATCCACACAGGAGCTGGAGAGGAGTAATTAGACTTCTTCATCTGTGAGCACTGTGAGACAAAACCACCCCAGGATCACTGGGACTCAAGACACTCTTCACTCCACTCCACTCTGCATCGTCTACATGAGTTTGACCCACTTAAAGGGCCTGTACCTGATTTCCATTTCTTCTGTTTAACATAAAAAGGTTTTATATTATGCAGTGTATTGTAAATATAGATAATTTTGATGGATAATAACTAAGCCACTGACAGGGAGGCTCGTTTTCCTCCAATCAGGCACATTGTTTGTTTAGAATCATGGGAAACTGCCTGACAGTATGGCAGACAGTTAATTCTGTCATGGTACATTTTTTTTAGCAGTGCATTTCCCCAGGTGGGTGTAAATGAATGAAAATATGAATTTATAAATACAAATAAATGCATTTTATTATTTTTACAAAAGTACATTTTTAAACCTCACTGTAACTTAAAGGGACTATCTTACACTATTTTCTGATCTATGTTCTGTTGTTTCCTCATCACAAACAGACCTGGAGTTGTGTTTTTTTGTTTCATTCACACACGTTTAACGGACAAATCCTGTATATTTAGGCTGAGTTCTTCTCTCCCACTTTGTGATGTCTTGTAGTAATACAAGAAGTGCCCTACTGTGTTTTTAAAATTCATACCCTTTCATTTCATTTGGCAATCATTGGCAGTTCCAGGAATAAAATCATCCATCTTGACTAAACAAAATGTTAGAGCTAAACTTGAGAGCTACCACTGCATGACATCACAAGGTGGAGCAGAGTGTTTTGAGCTTTGGAGATGTACACAGACTAGTAATAAAGGGTTACTCAAACGTGTGAATGAAACAAAACAAAACTTAAGGTCTGTTTTGGATGAGATAACAACATTCTAACCTGTCTTAAAGCTCATAAGAGTCCATTTTGCATAATATACGACCTTTCACATAAATTTGGACTATAGAATTATAGATTTAAAAGCTTAATACCACTATTGGCAACATCAGCAAGACAAATATTGAATTTCGGTATTGGCTCCCAAAACCAAAATCCGACCATCCTTATTTTTAGAAGGTAGGGACTGGGGAGAGTGTTATCGTTTCCACACAGTTCACAAACCGTATTTTCTGTGTCATGATGGACTAAGTGGGCGGGGCTACGGTTCACACTCAAACGTGTTCAAATCAGGTACAGGCCCTTTAAAAAAAGAGAGGAGCGAAACTGGCACTTTGTTCATCTACTAACCTGCTGGACATTCATTATCCTGTAGTAAGCCATACTTTTAAGAGAGGCCTTCTAACCCGTGTAAGTGTTTGTGCTTTTGAAATCAGCTGAGGATCAAAACTACAGACTTTTATTAACTTGACTGAATTTATTTTTGTTACTTACTTTTACAACCGCTTCAAACTGTGCAGTAACTATGCAATCGATGAGCGCCGGGGACGATAATGGAACGGAAGAAGCCAGTATGTCAGTATAATTAGGAACTTTTCTGTAGGGAGATGTCATTTCTTTGCCTGAAATATTCCACAATATGGCATTAAATGTGTCAGTTCAATTATAGGTGGTTTATTGCAAAAACAATCCAATATATTTTTACTGACAGTGGCTTGCCTCTCCGTACATCTGACCAGTACTGATAATACAGTGTTGGTAAAGTGTTAGTAAAGCCATTAAATCTCCATGGAGACGAGCAGGAATCAGACATCCCTATCAGAAAAGTTACACATTGTACTAGAGCGAACATTCTACTGGCTACGAATAATGGAATGTGTCTTCGCTGTGTTGATGATCTGTATAACGCTGGGTTTTTGATGGTGATTTACGGTTGATCTGATGTGTTTCTCAGACTTGCGTTACCCAGAATCCTTCTCTCCAGTTCCATTACTGTGGTTTAAACAAGCTGCTTTTTGGCATTTTGACCTCAAGTGTCTTCTTATATGTGCATATGACAGGTTTGAATACTCGCTTCACTAAAACACGATTATGTTTCAAATCTTCCTAAAAATCCTGGCTATTTTTTTAATTTTTTTATTTACAACACGGGCAGCAGACGTGACTGGTAATTCTGTAATCATTACCCAGCAACCATAACATTAACAACGGCCAAAGCTCGTACGATTTATACCAGGGGTCTCCAACCTGTTCCTCGGGAGTTACTGGTAGATCTCGCCCCCCCTTCCAAGTAGTTCGCCAAGGGATTTCTGAATTAAGTGCCTGTTTACCATTTAAAATCTATCATTCTAAAGCCTTAGCCAGGCGGGTGCCTCCGCTCAATTTCATTTCTCTTCAGCAACTTGGTCAGGAATCAGAATACACTAGACGGTTCACAAAAACCCTGGAAGTGCAAGTTCGGGCACCACCCAATCAGCAAAGAGTCATATATTCAGTGTTGTCAATGATTCCCGAGAACGAGGATTTAGGCAAGGCAAGTTTATTTGTTGAACACAATTCGTACACAAAGTAATTCAATGTGCTTTACAGAATAAGAAATACATTAAAATCACAATAAAAATAAATCAAAACATAAATAATCACTGAATTAAAGATGAAAATTAAAAAAAGAGAGAGAGACATTAATTACATAAATTAGAAGAGTGCGGAATGAAAACCTTTCAGTTATATGCACAGTGAAACAGAACCGTTTTGAGCCTGGATTTAAACAGTGTCAAAGAAGAGGCCTGTCTCACATGTTCAGGAAGACTTCCAGGTTTTAGCTGCATGAACCTGAAACTCTGACTCCCCTTGTTTAGTCCTGACTCTGGGCACCAGCAGGAGGCCGGTCCCTGAGCTCCTCAGAGTGCGAGATGGTTCATATGGCACTAACATGTCACAGATGTACTCAGCCATGGAGAGACTTGTACATTTAAATCCGGAACAAAGAGAATGTTTGGTGAATTTCATCAAGGAGAAAGACATTATTGTCCTTCTTCCTACAGGATTTGGGAAAAGCTTAATATACCAGTTAGCCCCGTTAGCGACGCATTACATATGTCACGACCAAATAGCAGCGATTGGTTAAATGATAAAAAGTACCCGCCTACCGTCGAGCGACCGAAATCTAAGGCTGCGAGGTCAGACGGTTTGTACAAAGTGAAACAAAGTAAAACCGGCTGATGAATCAAGCTACTGAAGCCTATCTTTGCGCACTAATAAATGTATAATAGTTGTGTTTATAGGCATCAAACTGTACCCCGTCTAATTTACTAAAATGAGCAGCTCTTTTGCATTTTCGTTTTGGAACAGTAGCTCACCAGAGAAAAAACGTTGGAGACCTCTGATTTACCCAATATTTATGAGTAAACTAATGAGAATAAATGAGCCACCTTGAAGGCTCAAAGCGCTTTACATTAAGGAACCACTCATCCATTCGCAGACACATTCATACACCAATGTACGCAGACACTGAGGGCGACGTGGGTTAAGTGTCTTGCCAACGAACGCAATAACAGTATTCATCTGTAGGAGCTGGAAAAGAACTGCCAACCTTTAGATCAGTAGTCACCCAACTCGTCAGTACTCCTCTGTTTTTGTGCTGCTTTTGTCAACTTTTTTCTTTTTTCCCTACAAATTGAAACTGATGTTAAAACTTTGATAAATATCGAGCACAGGTACGATCCCACCAAACCAAGTCCGAATCAGAAAACCGTACAAACCTGTCATATGCACTTGAACCAGTCCACAGCTCCCGGTCGGCTCCGTAACGTCTCCGAGACTGAACTCTGACCTGCGTAAATCGTCCGTACCTCCATACGCCAAAGTACTACTGTATCCCTACGCCTTATCTACTGACTTTTTTACATTGTTTTGATAAATGAAGATTGTGTTTGCTTTTCTATTACTTTATATTGTAAGTGTTTTATTTAACTACAAACCACTGTAGTGAATGTTCTGCCTGTTTCCTGTGCCTGAGAAAGACCACTACCGTATGAACCCACTGTATTTGTATATGTAGCTTTTGATTTGATTACACATTCCACTAAGAATCACTCGCTCTGTACTGTTGTTTTGTATATTTACAAGTACTATTCCATAAATAAAAATAAAGTGCATTCGTTTTAGTAAGATTTCTCTCAGTAATGGAATTCATTAAGTAAAATCCAGATTTATAATGGCCTAGTTAAGCCTCATTAAACATTCCAGGCAGTGTTTTGGAATGGATGATTAAATTAAGAACCTATTTTAAAACAGATTTTCGCAAAATAAATAATAGAAATAAACCCGTGCTCCTGTAAGCGCTTTGCTTTCTTAAAACTGCTGTTGTAATGAGGACCGGGATAATTTTGAATCAGGATGTAGACATGTTTAAATGTCAGTGATCAGCGTGGGTCTTTTTAAAAGCTACCGTCTGTAATTAAACTGGCTGACCTGGCCCTGTTGTATTCTCACATATCACCACTAGATGCAGTCTGTGTTACTGCTGTGTGACAATGTGCCGGCTTTGGTTAAACAGAAGACCAGAGAGCAAAGGTGAGAGGACCTAGAGGGAGAACACGTCTCACATCTGACATCTACTGCTGAAAAAAAGTCGACTAAACTTCCATATGGTAGCTTTAATGGACAGATCTACAGCCAATCCTGTCTGTATCCACCTAGTGCCTCCACTCATTTTCATTCCTCTCCAGCGTCTAGGTCTGGAATCTGAATACACGAGACCAGGGTAGGAAAATTTGTGGGCCACAAAGGGTTTTAAAATTTGACGGAAGGAAGGGACCAGGAGCAGATGGATGGAGTTTTTTGATAATATTGAAATATCCCATAATTGAAAATCATTACTGTCTTTCAAGTCCCATGGTATTTACTATTTATTGAAATGACTTTTAAACACTGAACATTATTATCATTATTCAAGTTCAGCGGGCCAGATTAAAAACATTAAAGGGCCAATCAGCGAAGAGCTGTGAAGCCATGTCTGGGTCCCTTTTGTGGTACAGCACAACAGTAAACAAAGCGTCGAGATGGATGTAGACGAAGACAGACATACTGTGTTGGCAACGATTCCCAAGATCGAGGATTTAAACCCAGAACAAAGAGAATGTTTGGTGAATTTAACCAAGGGGAAAGACATTATTACCCTTCTTCCTACAGGATTTGGCACATTACATTTGTCACGACCAAATAACAGAGATTAGTTAAATAAAAAGTACCTGCCTACCGTTGAGCAAAACAATCCTAATGCTGCGAGGTCAGACGGTTTCCACGAATTTAAACCGGCTGATGAATCAGGCTAGTCTGTACCCACCTTATTCCGCCTCGCCAACTTTCATCTCTAAATGCTCCTAAATTGTGCTTTTTTGTGGTGGCACTTCCAGTTAAATGGGGATCATGTCAATGGAGAATTTGGAAAACATTTTGCATCTTCAATCTGACACAAACTCAGTTCATTTGTGTAAAATATTCAGTTTTCATCTGCACCAACAAGTCCCACTGGGAGGCTTTAAAACGACTTTATTGCCCATATTGAACTTATTTACTGTCATGACAACCTCATACTAAATAATACAACCTGAATCATGATGGGATGGCGGTGCCCAAAGCAACTTCTGGAATAAAGTGGATAAAAGTCTGGCTTGGAGCTGACTGACGACTTTGGAGGGAGGAACTGGTAACACTTCTCATAACTATATTAGTTTTAATAAAGCCTGAAGAATGACATAATTCATAATGAACAGTTTATTGTAAATGGTTTATTAAGAATGATTTAGGCTCAACTATTTAACGAACACCCAAACTCTAACTATTACTCCTAACCCTAACTCAACAGGAGTGACCCAGTTTTGAGTCCCAGCAGATTTATCCAAAACCGGTGATTTGTCACAGTTTTATACAAGAAATGTCCCTGGTATCCCTATTTTTGACCAGTTTGGTACCTGCCAAGAGTAAATACAGGCATAAATTGTCCAGTTTTTTTTTTTTTTCTTTTGTTTATGTAAAATTATGGAAAAAACAAACAAAAAAAACCTGAAAATATGACTAGACTGACTCATGTTATCGTGAATAAGTCATGAATGGGCCAAGTGCATAACAATTTTCATTTCTTTCTTTTCTTTCTTTTTTTTCTAATTACCAACCACAACCGACCTGGGGGTGTCAAAGTTTCTTATTTTGAAACTCTGGTCACCCGACTCTTATCCTTAAATGCTCTGTGCCCAATTTTTCCCATGCACATTTTCCCATGTATATGAGCGAAATGTGTCTTGCCCAGTACTGATATCAGTTCTGGAAGTAAAAATAAGTCTGCTACATACATGTAAAGCATTTTGATAGTCAGGACGTGCACTGTTGGCATGCTATTTGCCGTTTTCGCGATGGCAGAACTCAGCACTGGTCTGTGAAAGTTGTGAAAAGCGCCGATAAACTCATTGCGATGAATAATTCGGATGCTTTGAACGTGTTAGGTAAGTGAGGGAACTGGAATTTCCCTCGGGATCAAATAAAGATTCTCTGTTTCTTTGGACCGCTGCAAACCCTGCAAAATGAACGAGCGGTTTTTCATGATTCGAAGACAGTACAATATACTCGGGACAGTCCCAGTTTTGAGCCCTGTGTCCTTTGTCCCAGCGGATTTATCGAAAACCACTGATTTGTCCCAGATGTCCCTATTTTTGACCAATTTTATCCCTGCCAACCGTAAAGAAAGTCATAAACCACCATTTGTTTAGTTAAAATACAGAAAAGCTGCTTAAAAATGACCAAAACACAATTGAATCTGACTATTCTGACTCATACGTTAGTCATGAATGGGCCGAGTGCAACAATTTCCCTTAATTACGTGCTCGTTTCCTAATTTTATCATCGCCCAATGCCATAAACCGGGGCTGTCCCAGTTTTTGATTTTGAATAAACTATCCGGCAAAACGAATGCAACAACGCCACAGATTTATCACAACGCGTCCGCTTTAATGCGTCCTCGCCTCATTAGGCCGCATGCACATTAAAGGCCCTCTGTGACGCCGTGTTTGCCCAGTGGCCCGAGTGATTCTCAGGAGCTTACTGGTACATTAGCGTATGAACATCCTGCCACTCTCAAAGCGCCTTTTATTTTTTTTTTTTTTATTACGCATCACGACGCACAACCAACATCCCCACACACCCACGCACGTATAAGCCATATAGTCCACATCATATTAACAGTATCCAATGGACTTACTCATCAATGTTGTGTTTACATTCTGGATTATCTAACAGCACCTTTGCGAGTACCGGGTTCAGACACCAGGGGGCAGTGGTCGCTAGTGTTTTGAGTATCAGTGGGATGGAGGGAGCAAAAATACCTGGAGGATGTTGGAAGATTGAGAGAGAGAAAAAAAAAAGCGGCGGTTACAGGAAAATTCAAATGGGAAATAATAATGATGGCTTTATTTTTACGTAGATGTGATTCAAGCATGGAGATGGAGAGAGGGAGGCACTAATTGGGCTCCAGTGGGACTGATGGAGATGTGTTTATCGTGGGGTCTTTATCAGAAGAGTGAGAGACGAGACATAGAGGAGTTGCTGTTGTTTTTAACTCCACTTAAACGGACTGTATGTGGCCCGAGCTGCGTAGAAAAAAGGTATTACACTCCCAACTGAACCTGTGTCACCAGTGTCTTCACCTGCAGACAGAGGACACATACAAGGGTTTCTCATTCTCAGGACATGGACAAGTCTTGCCAAGTTCCTTTAACCTTCCTGTCGTGTTCGGGTCAAATCTGACCGATTTACAACTTCAAACACTCATAAATATTGTGTTTTACATCTGATTGCCTCAAGGCCTTATGATGTCCTCCACACTGTGCACTTGAACATAGAAAAGTGATGATCACCTCTTTCATTGAATTTTAACTGTTTTAATCCACCTTGTTACACCTGTGGTGTTCCTGGTCAAAAGTGACCGCCGTAGAAAATGAATGTGTATCCAGACTATATTCATCCATCAGACAGAAAACATCCCCATACACACCACCTCAACTCACTCACTCGCACACACACACACGCGCACAAACGCACACACGCACAAACGCACACACGCACACACGACTCTTTCGGTACCTGTTTGTATTTTCACTGCAGTTATTTTATGTCTGATTCTATAAATTCATGTTAAACACTACTTTGAGACATTGTTCACAGCTAAAGAATGTTGAGTAAAAATTTGGTGGTGAAAAATGTTTTTTGTGCTAATTTAAGAGCAGCTAAAACTACAATTTTTGACCGGGAACACTAAAGTAAGGGGCGGGAGATAAACACGACCGGAGGGTTAAACCAAAAGTAGTAGGAGGAGTAGAAATAACCAGAGGTGGGGACTTGAGTCAGACTTGAGTCACTATTTTTAGGACTTGAGACTTGACTTGATAAAATTGACTAAGACTTGGGACTCGACTTGGACTTGAAGGTCAATGACTTGAGACTTAGACTTGAGCTCTGTGACTTGAGAAGACTCGATGCTTCTCCAAAAAAAATGTTTTTTGAAAATAGTTTTCTCTTTACAGTTGATAAATGTGGTGCTGAATTTTACAGGAACAAACTGGAACATGCCCCACCCATTTCTGTATTTGTTACTATGGCAACAGTAAATGAAGTACTATGATATGGTATCATCAAATGTACTACAGTAATATACAGTACAATACAATAAACAGAGGGAACTACATGATCAGCACATAATCCTTCCATTTCAGTGCAGACATGACAAAATTTGCCCTTTTTTTAAGCACTTTTAAATCTGAATTTGTTCTATTCCGACTGTAATGATTCACTCTAACATCTTGTCAAGACATTTTAAAAAGAAAAAAATTGCATTTCTACAACTGTTATATAAATACTCATATAGAAATATACCACGACTTTTTACAATTTAGTTTAAAAGTCATAAATTGCAAAAATGGTGCTCTGGTTTAAAGACTTGAAATGACTTGAAGCTCAAAGCAGATGACTTGGACATGACTTGGGCCAGTGACTCGAGACTCGACTTGGGACTTGAATCAGACTTGAGGTCAAAGACTTGAGACTTACTTGAGACTTGCAAAAAAAAGAGCACTTTAACTTGTGCGCACATTTTCGGTACTCAATCTTTCCACCACCGA